CAGGGTTGACTCAGCCTTCCATCCTTCCGAGGTGGGTAAAATGAGGACCCAGATTGTTGGGGGCAATATGCTGACTCTCTGTAAACCGCTTAGAGAGGCCTGAAAGGCCTATGAAGCGGTATATAAGTCTACTGCTATTGCTATTACGGTAACTACATGGACCAATTGGATCAGTTGGTTGTTCAGGATCACTTTGTAATGATTCAACTTTGTAATGATTAAGACTGATGGTGTTAAAATAATTAAAGTGACCAAAAAGTAGTTTACTGGATGACTTATGGCTTTTGAAGATATAGTGTTGCTTTATGATACATGTATATTAATTATGAATTTACAATCTGTTGTCTGTCTTTATATGTTGTTCGTTCTAGCTTTATCGGAGAAGAATCCGTTGCAGCTGGCGCAGGAAGTATTTTGACAGATAATCCCACATGGATTATTGATCCTATTGATGGAACTACTAATTTTGTGCATAGGTACTTTTTTCAGCTATCACTACATATTACTTAGAGGATGACCTTTGTTTCTCTTTTGGTATGAAAATGTTAGAACCTGTTTTTCAGTATTTTCTTTAAGGGTGTCTAGGATAATTTTATCCAAATTTTACTTCTCCAATTCACAGTTGTTGCTTCTGTCCTCATCTTACAAAGGCAATATATTTCTCTTTTTGATCTTCAAGGTTTCCCTTTGTAGCCGTTTCAATTGGCTTTGTAGTAAAGAAACAGGTAACCAATTTTTCATTTTATTTTAACTTCTAATAGGAAAAAAATGTTTTCATTGCAACCTCTTCCTATAATATAAAGTTGAACCGTTAAAGATCTATAGGTGTTGCATTTCTCTTATAACAGATGGAATTTGGAATTGTGTATAGCTGTGTAGAAGACAAGATGTATACTGGTCGAAAAGGGAAAGGAGCCTTTTGCAATGGACAAAAACTCCAAGTGTCAAAACAACGAGGTAAATCTTTGTCTGGTTTCCGTGTGTTCATTTCACAATGCTACATAAGATTGAGGAAGCCGAGGACTGTGTTAGCCTATTTCACACCAATGATTACAGTATCCTGTTTAACAGCTCTCCACTTTATTAGTTTGGAATTCCTTTGCCCTATTATTCTTTGAGGTTTTTTCCTTCTTATTTCCTTTGCCAAGGAACTTCTTTTTATACTTAAGGCTTGAAAGCAGTCACTGTCTCTCTCGGTCCCACTCACTTCACAAGGTGGTTGTTGTGAGGAAAATAGTGGAAAGGTGTGTTGGGTTGAGTTATTTGTAAAATAATAAAGGTGGGATACAAATAAATAAATGAAATAAAAAATAAAAACTTTGCTTGTTTCCACTTCTGCATCCCCTTGTTGCTGATATCCTGTAGTTGAGAAAGGTTCTTTCCACTTTTTTACCTTTTTTCATTCTTTCCTTTGAGGTTTTTTTTTTTACTGGCCTTGCTATATCTTGCTCTTGTCCATTGACTTTCACTTTTCAAATTTCTTTTTATTCTAAAACTAGCTGTTAACCCAGCATTGCCCGGGTATTTGTTTATCCAAATCCTGTATAAGACATTCACAAATGTCCGGACCAAACATAATTTCAAATGTTGTATTTTCCCCCTTACCAGAGGGAGCCCCTTTGTGGAGAACTATGAAGCCATTACCATGGCAACTCTACTGTGCTGTGCCATAGAAGCCATTTTAAGGCATAACAGGCTGTATCTTAACAGAACACACACCATGAGTCTTACCCCCACAGTATTTGTTTCCAGAGAGTAAGTCATCTGTGTACCAAGTTTGGTTGAAATTGCTTGATGCGTTCCAGAGTTATGCTGGAACATACACACACACAGCCATTTAGAACTAATTTTTTATTGGCCAAGTGTGATTGAACACACAAGGAATTTGTTTATGGTATATATATAGATTGTAAGGTCGCCATAGCCCTTTCTACTGTTGGCTTTCTTCCGAAAATCTTTCTTTTCTTCTAATAATTAGTTTGGTGTAATGGCACCCCAGGCTTCAGTCCTAGGCACAAAATCTAGCTGGGTGACTTTGTGTCAATTCTTCTCTCAGCCCTCACAAGGTGGTGGGTGTGGGGAAAATAGAAGGCGGAAGGAGTATTAGGTATGTTCACTACCTTGAGTTACATGCTTATAAACGAGCAGGATAAAAATATAATAATGTCTTTCAGAAATCCGCACAGGCTTCTTTTGTTCTTATATTGCATTGAGAAATTGCTTTGAGAGATGTAAATATCTTAAATGTACTTATGTAATTTATATTGCAAATCGTTTGATAACAGAGATGAGCTCATTTGATGGCAATCAGCCAGAGAAGTATATGAAGAGCGAAATGTGTAAAAAGATTGATCAAAGGCCCTTGGAAATAGAGTTTACTCTGTGTGTGTTCTCTTAGCACATATTTCTGTACTAATTGGTAATAGGTGTGCTATTCAAGCAATCTGCTTGATACCTCCATGCCATTTCAGATACTTTGTCTGCCTTTTTTAATTTTTTGAAGCATTGCCAAGATGTCCTGTGCCTTTGCCATTGAATTAATTTTTTCATTAAAAGAAGGTGAATTTGTGGGAAACAGTACAGATGATATATGACTTGAACAGTCAACAAGGGAATGAACTTGGAGAGTACCATATATCTGAATAAAATACAACCTCATTGTTCATGTAATGTCTGTAGGGTACTCAGGCTCAATAGTCAAGGCTAGAGAATTGCTCAGAACTTTGTGGGACTTTGTATTCTTTAATAAAGGTTTATACAATATAGTTTGGTTTCTTCTTCATATTCAGGTCATACATGTCTGAGTAAGCATTAAGTGAGCCTGGGGGTATACACTGGCTTTTTCCTCACCCTTCTAGGTATTAAGTACAAAATAAGTAACAATGTGCTTTAAACAATATGTTATATTAAAATAGTTGATTTTGACTTTTTTAACAGCACTGATCAAATGTAAGTTAATGGATGCAATTTTGTTTTATTTTGCAGACATTACAAAAGCACTCTTAGTATCAGAATTGGGGTCCGACCGTGACCCAGAAGTTATTAAAACAGTTCTTTCTAATATGCAAAAGCTCCTTAGCATTCCTATTCATGGGTACAGTATCTTTTTTATTTTGATTTATTTGCATTTAATTGTAATGAAACATCACTACAATGCCGATATTTCCAAAGAGATGAGAATGTCCCCATTATTCTCTCAGTCCACACAAGGATCCAAATTAGTACTGTGTTTCCCCGAAAATATGATATGTCCTGAAAATAAGGCCATGCCAGATTTTTGGGGTGGGCAAAAATTCCCCCCAAAATAAGCCTCTTGGACAATCCCCCCCTCTGGCCAAGCAGAGCGCCAACCCCCAACCTAGCGCTAAGCTGCAGGAACTGGGGGAACAGGTGCTTGCGCAGCTTGGTGCCTTTGAGATACCACTGGGTCAGTGAGTGGCACTGGAGTGGAGCGTTGCCAGGTGGCTACTCTCTTGCAAGCGGGGTCCCGTAGAGCCTGGCGTGCGGATGGCAGGACGCAGGCAGGCCTCAGGGGCAAATAGCTGTGTTGCACTGTCGCAGCAGCGCAACACAGCANCTTCTTCTTCTTCTTTCTCCTCTTCCCCCTTTTCCTCCTCTTCTTCTGGGCCTCTCTCACAGTGACTTCTCTGCGGCTGGCCTCTCCAGTTGAAAATACTAGTCCTCGACTTACGACCACAAGGGAGTTCAAAATCTCCATTGCCAAGCACAACAGTTGTTAAGCAGGTTCTACCCCATTTTACAACTTTCTTAAATGAATCACTGCAGCTTTAAGTTTGGCTTCTTTCACTGATTTTGTGGGTCAGAAGGTCACAAAAGGGGATCTCTAGCAGGACACTGCAACCGTCATAAACACGAGACTTTGGGGAAGGGGGGAACCAAAAGCCCAGCTGCCTTTTGGGGAATAAAGCACTTGTGGGATAACATTTAGCACCCACTAGGAGTCAGATAAAGTGGATTGGACTTCGTACATTTGTGGCTACGTAGGGAATTCTAGGCTGGTTCCTCGCTTGACTCCGCCCCCACACCTTCTCTGGCAATTTTGCAATTTAGAAGGGAAGGAAAGTCCCTTGCAGATAGGACAAGAATAAGCTGGCTTTATTTTATTTTATTTTTAAAAGGAAGAGGCAGACTTCAGGGTTTAGGGATGAAACTTTCCCTGCTTGGATACTTTCACTTGTCGGTGCAATTAAAGCTATTACGAGAATGGAGACTTAGTCGGCAGCCTCCCTTTCTCCGGTCTCCAACTCAGTTTTACAGTTTTGTCATTCTTTGTTGAAGAAATCGGAGCAAAGTCTGGTCAGGCTATTGTTAAAATCTCTTGATGTCAAGTGGAGCTTCAGTCCTCGATGCAAAAAAACACACAAACACACTCACGCAGCAAAGTCTGTTCCCCCACAGCCGACAGAAGATGGAAAAATCCATTTATTCTGGACTCCACAATTCGAGCTATTTCAATGTAATGGACAAGGTCTTTTAAAAAAAAAAAATGTATGGGTGTGTATGTAATTTATTCCACCCACACACCCCCTGCCCCAAGGACATCTTGTAAAAAAAAAAAGAGCCCTCAAATGCTACAATAAAAAAAAATGTTTCTCAAGTTCCATTATAAAAGAGGCACAGAAGTGCAATTAATTTTTCCCATCATTTTCGTTCCAGTTACAATTATTATCTCTTTCTCTGTCTCTTGTACTTAAACACCCACACCCACCCACCCACATACACACCCACACCCACACTCACACACAAACAGTCCACAAACAAGCTTTTTATCCAACGTTTCCCTGGATTTTATGGTTCTTAATATCTGCAAGTATGAAAGAGAGAGACAGAGAGACGAGAGACAGAGAGACAGAGGGAGTGAGACAGAGAGACAGAGAGAATGGGACAGAGAGAAACAGAGAGAAAGAGACCGAGAGATAGAGAGATAGACAAACAGAGAGAGAATGGGACAGAGAGACATAGAGAAAGAGAGACAGAGAGAGAGAGAGAAAGAGAGAGAGAGAGAGATAGACAGACAGACAGAGGATGGGACAGAGAGAAACAGAGAAAGAGACAGAGAGAGACAGAGAGACAGAGAAAGAGGAAGGAAGGAAGGAAGGAAGGAAGGAAGGAAAGAAAGAAAGAAAGAAAGAAAGAAAGAAAGAAAGAAAGAAAGAAAGAAANAAGGTCCCTTCCAACTCTGCTATTGTATTATTGTATTTTTTTTTCTTTTCATTTATGGCAGGGGTCCCCAAACTTGGTACATTTAAGACCTGTGGACTTCAACTCCCAGAATTCCCCAGCCAGCTATTTATGGTATGCCAAATAGACCTCTTAAAACACACACACAGACACACACACACAGGTGAAAACATCACTATAAAGCGATGCAATCCCGACCTCTCTCTGCGCGTCTCAATTAAATCTCTTCATAATATCCAATTTTTCCTCTCTCCAGTCAGGATGGAAAACTGCTGGGGGGAAAAAATGAAGAAGAAAATGAAACATAGCCGGAGGTGTAGAAGACGGATTTTGGCTGATAAAAATGACAATTGGGTTCCAGGTAGCAGGAAAGCCTCAAGTGTTAGAACTCTTTGTTAATAATAATAAGAAAAAAATCCAATTTGCCAAGGTGAGTTTTAGCTGGAGGCCCCGGGAAGAGGCAGCCAGGGGGTCCTCATTTCCGAATGCCCCAGTGCTGTTTTCTGGGGAGGGGCAACAGAAGCCTCCCCCCAAAATCATACAAAGAACAGTTGCAGGATTTGGATTTCGACAGTCTAGAGGGGAAAAAAAGGACTAGGGGAGACATGATAGCAGACTTCCAGTATTTGAGGGGCTGCCCCAAAGAAGAGGGGGTCAGTTTATTGTCCAAAGCACCCGAAGGCAGGATGAGTAACAATGGATGGAAACTAACCAAGGAGAGAAGCAACCTGAAATTAAGGAGAATCTTCCTAACGGTGGGGACAATTAGCCAGTGGAACAGCTTGCCACTAGAAGTTGTGGGTGCTCCATCACTGGAGGTTTTAAAGAAGAGACTGGAGGGCCACTTGTTTGATATGGTACAGAGTCTCCTCCCCTTGAGCAGGGGGTTGGACTAGAGGACCTCTGAGGTCCCTTGCAGTTCTACGATTCTAGAAGGAAGGGAGGGACGGAGGGAGGAAATGGATGGAAACTAATCAAGGAGAGAAGCAACATGGAATTAAGGAGAAACTTCCTAACGGTGAGGACAGACAATTAATCTGTGGAACAGCTTGCCACCAGAACTTGTGGGAGCTGGTTTTTAAAAAGAGATTGGACAGCCATTTGTCTGAGATGGTATAGGGTTTCCTGCTTGAGCAGGGGGTTAGACTAGAAGATCTCCAAAGTCCCTTCCATCTCTGTTGCTGTTCTTCTTTTTCTTCTTCTTCTTTCTTCTTCTTCTTCTCCTTCTCCTCCTTCTTCTTGTCCTCCTCCTCCTCCTCCTCCTCCTCCTTCTTCTTCTTCTTCTCCTTTTCTTCTCCTTCTCCTTCTTTTCTTCTCCTTCTCCTTCTTTTCTTCTTCCTCCTCCTCCTCCTTCT